CTGTCGCATGAGAGATCAGCCTGGTCCCCTAAATTATTGTACTCTACGCCGCGAGAGCGGTAAGAACTTAGTATTGATTAGCTAGGCTCAATTAAATTAAATTCATGTAATTAAGCCTGATCTGTCAGAAATCTGATTACCCCGGAATCAATCCCTGTTCCCTTCGTTGTTAATTAAGAAGAACTCAATCATTTACTTTTAGTCGTTTATTTGCAATTTTAGTTTTCTCAAACAACCAAATCTCGTACGACCGCATTTGTTTTATTTATTTTTTTTATCGCTGATTTTAGTTAATTCTTAATTCCCTTTTACCGTCCCTGTGGAGACGATACTCGTACTTTCACCGCTATATTACAATCTTTTGAAGTGCGAGAAAACTCACATCAGTCCTTTTTACGTCCCCTCCCCATTTGGGGCAGTTACTACTTCACAGACTCCTTGTGCTCTATCAAACAGAACAATGTCGTGTATGTTTGTCTTCACTTGATATCTTTGAATAGTTGCAAGAACATGTGGCATATATACAAGTATCGTTTAGCCAATGCATCTCCCACAAAATCTCATCTCACAGGAAAAAAAATTTAACTAACCGATAAAAAGTTAGTTGCACACATGTCGTGATAGGAAAATTCCAAGCACCTTTTAGCACACTATTAAACACCTCAGATGAGTTGGTAGTCATTATTCCATAACGCCGACCCCCATCATGAGCCAATGATCATTGAGGTAGACCGATCTTGTCCAATGATTTGTGAGCATCTGGATTGATTTTTCAATTTCTTTCATTATGGTATCAAACTTGCGCACTTGGTGTGCACTTCCTACTCTATAAACAAGCACTTTTAATTGTTTATTGTGAAATTTGTCATTGAAATTACTGCATGTATGTCGCAAGCAGTATCGATGATATAACCCCAAAGTTCCTGCCACCTGGAATAATGATCAATTACTGCAGGACTAATTCCCTTATGATGATCAAAAATCAAACAAATTCTTTGGTGTTGAGTTACTTTTTCTCTAAGACAATTAAGACACCATTTCCAACTGTCGAAAGATTCTTCCTCAACAATAACAAATCATAGATGAAACAATTGATTGTTTCCGTCAACACCCATAGCTATCAACATTTTTCCTTTGTATCTCCCATACAAATGGGTTCCATCAATAGTAATTACTGGTCTACAATATCTGAACCCCTCAACGGATTGTGTTAAAACCCAAAACATACGCTGCAAAATTCCCAAATTTTGATCTTGCAGCATTTCTAACTGCCACATCTTATATGAGAACTCAAATAAATTTAGGCAGAATTCTATACGATTTTTTCCAATCACTAAACAGAGGTTGTATTGCCTTCTGTTTTGCATACCACATCTTATATGAGAAATCATAAGAGAACTTACCTTTCGAAATTTGTGTTAGGGCTGCAATTGTAATAGAAGCCTCTACTTTGACTTGATTTTCAACTTCTCGTGCTAATAAGTTCGAATTTAATAACAATGGATGATCGCGACTCAAACATTTGTACACACATTGATGTAGGTCATCATATTTAGTGATTTCAAAAACTGATTGGATTTGCGTTTGCATGCTCGAAGCCTAACCGCAACCTCCTTCGTTTTGTTTCGTACGCTTCGATGAGCACATATTTTTCTTCGATTCAACAACTTCATACATACGGTATCTCTTAAGAGTGTAATGCCGCACATCCCTTTTCAAATCAGCCTTATCCTCAAAAATTAACTCTTTCTTTAGCTCACCACTTGGAGTCCACTCACTAGTCGTCTGTAATAGTGAGTTACTAGTCACATCTTCATTAATATCATCAATATTTTTTAAGAAGCGAATTGCCTCTCCACTTTCTCCCCTCTCTTCTCACTCTCTCCATCTTCACTTTTCCTCAATGGGTCCTCATCATTCTCGGTGTTTGCCTCATAATGTCCATCATGTTCTATATATCCTAAGTCAACTACCTCATTATTATCAACATTCTTATAAAAAACACAACATCACTTTCCGAACAAGTCATTTATTGGATTACACTTGTGTTAATGCTTTTTTTTGGTATGCATTGCAGAAAAATATTACCAACCTCAACTAGTTTATTGAAAAAACATATCACATTAAATTAATAATGAAAGTCACCTAAAAATTAATAGCACTGCAAGAATGAACATATGATTACATAATAATAAAACTCTTCTAATCATTAGTTAACTTGAATCGGAACAAATTATGTCTTGTATTGCAGGCATGAACATATGTTTATATAATAATACAAGTCTTGTAATTGACTAATTTCATAATAGCACACATTAAAATCATCAAAACAAGATGGTATTGAACATTTGAACGGGACTATATCATTCTTCGTATTATAATATAATAGGCTACAATTTTTGTTTTTCCTGAAGTATAGATTTAATAAAAAGTTCAGTACTAAACTTTATAAAGTTGTGTAGGTAAACGGAATATTTGTTTGCCCAAAATTCAGTCAGGGGTCATACTCGAAAATCCAAACACAAAATCACCAAACTGCTATTTTTAAATTTAATTTCATGTTTAATTGCAATGAAAAATGCATCTCTGAAATTCTGATTTAAGCTTGTAAAATTTAGGTTGTAATCTCTGAAAAAAGAGACTAAGCAATAACTTGAAGTAGAAGCGTCTGGACTCTGGTGTGGTGACATTGAGGCCGATGGAACTTGTGAAGCCGGTGCCGGAGGGTGAAGTGCATTGGTGCCGATTGAAATCAAAGAAAACTCACGAAGCCGGTGCAAGAAAGGAATGGCGATGGTCGCAACTTGAACAATACGGCAAAACGATGGATCAACATTGATGGAACGGAATAAAATGAAGGAGAGATTTGTTTTAATTAAAGATGTCTGACACAATATTAGTAATGATATACTCCGTATGTTTTAATATGAGTGTATTAAAAAATGTTGGTGGCGCAGTGGGTTAAGATTGTGAATTTTAAATGGATGGGTGTAGGTTCTATTCCTAGTAGCTTAGAGCATCTCCAATGCATTCAAGTCTAGTACAAATAAAGTGTGCCATATCATCAATTTGAACATTGTTCATTTAATTTCTTCTCCAACGCATGTAGTCCTCCGTTCAATTTTGATGATTTGACAAAAAAATGTTAGACACTGTCGATTTAAATGTTCGGGTGTAGAAAGCCTTGCTCACTTGATGACTGGACAAATTAAAAGGGAAACCGCCAGGATTATCACTTTGCACGTCCGAAAAGTTAGTAAAAATTGGAACATGTACGACAGATTTCCATGAATATAGTTTACTCTACCTACGTGCTTTCAAGCCTTACACTTTTTGCATTGGAGCCTTCTTTCGTATTTTAATGTTTAGTGAGCGTACATTGTATTATGTGGATTAGAAAGCCTTCTATTTATTTGACAAGTGGTATATTTTATTTAGACTAGACTTGATACCATTGATGATGCTCTTACTTTTATGAGACATGTATATGTGAAATGCACAGCTCACGTAGCGGATTAATGATGTTGAAATGCAATTTAACTCGGGCGCTGACATGGCATGCTGACCCGGGGAATATCTCTTCTTGAGAAATACGTTTAAAATTATCCTACTTTGGAAAATAAGATTAGTACCCTTCTTCGAGAAAAAAAAACTCATACATTTTCCAGAAAAACGATCTAATCTTGACAAACAAATCTAATCTTGCCGATGGTTCATGGTTGTTACAGTACATGGTCATCAGTGGTCGAGATTTAATACAAATAATAAAAAAAATACTATAAATAGGACTAAAACATGATTATAGTTCTCAATATAGGAGTCCAAAACATGATTAAAGTTGATAAATAGGAGTCCATGAATTTATATTCTCTCAAGTCTAAGCATTACCTTTCTATCTTTAATTTCATTAATTAATTCCCCTAACTCTACTTAATTAGGGAATCCGGCGAAAGTGCAGCGACCAGCGGCAGTCCAATGACAGACTGACGATAGTGGCGGCACTCCGAAGACCAGCAGTGATGGCAGTTCGGTGACCAGCAGCGCGCGGCAATCAAATGGCCAAGTTTCAACCCCTACAAGGGTGTTTTTATCTAATCACAAATGATGCATATTTAAAGAATTTTAAACATTGATTTATATTTTTTACCGTTTAAGTACGGTATATGTTTTATTCGTGGGAATCCTCTCATAATCATAGTGTGACAAGAATGGCTGAAATTCCGTAAGGTAGTTGAAATATATCAATGGTAGCTGAAATGCTACTTGCTGTAAATTGAGTTTTCAGGAAATAAAATAAGAGACATTACTGTCTGAATTTATGGTTGGAAGTTAATTATGTGTGCCTTTCTATTTGTGTCCTGTTTGAATTTATAAGTTTAAATATTGTCATTTTTCTTAGTACTACAGATACAGCGAAAGAAAGGAAAGATCACTTTACGAAAGAAAAAGGAAATGGAGTTCGCTGATGAGCTGATCCAAACACACCTCCAAAATTTTCATTTTCAGCCTTTTCTCCCTAAAAGCCAAAAGTTAAATTACCAAAGAAGCTCGTTCTATTATTTTGGCCGAATGGTGGAAAAATTGAACCAAGTGACCAAGGTTCGAAACCCGCAACGGCCGTGTGAAGGTTACAGAACCTGAAATAAGGTTCGAACTCTTATGCGCACGTGTATAAGGCCTACCACCGCTTTGATGACTGAGTCATCGTGATTAACTCCTCCACAATCATGTCGGGTCGAGGTCGATGGGAGATTCCACCTTTTGGACCAAATTATTTTGGATGTTTTGACTGGTGAAACAGAGAATGGTCAAACAAGCTAACTTTTTCAGCTGACAAGCTGATTTACCAAACCCCTTTTGCTGATGTAATGTTGTACTTTCTTTTACCAAACGCCAAAATCAACTTCCGAGAACCAAAAGTCATTTTATTATACTCCACTTTAAAGCTGTTGGATGCAAATCATTTAATTAGATATTTCCAAAAATCAAAACAGGTTAACTACGAGTATAAAAAATGCTTTCTTGATAAAGATAGGAAAAATGGCATTCCAGCATATACAAACTACTCTTGACTCTCGAGAGCTACAGAAGGGACCCATCACCTAATAGTTTATGTAGAAAGGAGCATTTATTTACCTTCTAGCGAAGTAAATAATACCCCCCATCTGAAAACTTACATTAACACAAACAAGTAGCTAAAATAATTACCATCCACAACACAAGAGAGTGGATGAGGGAAACCGACCAGTTTGGCGAATATATTCGGCATCGGAAGCAGTTTTCTGAGCTAGGCGGTTTTTCCTGGCCTCAGCCATTGCACGCTTTTCTTCTGATTTCTGTCTTGCCATTGCTACCTTCTTTACCATCTTTGCTTGTCCTTGTGCTCTCAATTTCTCAACTTGTGCCTGATAACATAAATAAAAGCAATATGAATGAAGATCTTCTTTCCTTCTAAAAATTTGCCCTTGTATAAAAGATAATGGTCTCCAAGTCTCTAACTTTTGCATCCTACTAAATAAATTTGTCCTACTCTAGAGGGAATATGATCCATTGATGCACTAAGGCACGTCCGATAAGAGCAAAATAAGCTGATACCTGGGAGTGTTTTTCATGGGAAATTTGTTTTCTGCTCATAATTATTTTCATGGAAACAAAATGGAGTGTAAAGGTTGGACTTTTATTAGTTAAATACCTCAATTCTTCTGATTTCTGCTTCAAGCTTCGCTTCCTGTTGACTTTCCCAAGCTTGAATTTGTATTTCTTCGCGCTTAAATCTGAGTGTAATAACAATTCAAGCAGTTAAGTACTAAAGTATTGACCAGTTAAAGTAGAGAACATAATTAGCACAGAAAATTTACAAACGGGGCAGGAATGGTATAAAGAAGGAATCAGTGAGACCTAGCGACATGCTTTGACTTTTCAACTTCCTCCCAAGCAGCGGCACGTTTGGCAAACTCAACTTGATGCTCAAGCTCAGTCGTCTCTGTGCATTGACCATCAGAGCTCTCCCTTTCTTTCTGGTCCTTACTTGCCCAAGCAGCAATATTCGTCTTACCGAGTTGCAAACCCAGGGATACTATCTCTTTTCTGGTCTTGAGCTTCAATTCTTGCTCAGACAATTCCCTTTGATTACTATTTTCTAGCTGAAAATTATTATTACTATTATTATGGTTGTCAAAGGCATGATGATGGTCTAGAGTAGTTGGTGGTGGCTCTTCCCCTCCTCTTCGAGGAGTAGACGGGATTGATGAGGTTGGGCTGCGAAGCGGGGTCGTAGCCCCAGTGGGCGTTGCAGTCCTGGAAGGTTCTTGACTTGGAATCGGAGTCATTTCTGTTCCCATGTCTCTCATTGAAACCGATCTAATGCCATCAGTTAGACCTGTGTGAGACAATCATTAAAAACAACTTGTTTTAGTCATTTAGTGTCCATTTATCACATCTTGATAAATATCCCCAAAAAAACAAATTGTGAAGTGTTAATATCAATCATTAAGTGTGGTGCACAAGTTTCACTTTATCTGCTGTAGTCCTTCCGACCATGTGTTGTTTGAAAATCAGCCAGATTTGTTCATAATTGCGATCAATATGAGCCAATGAGCCGTAAATTTGCTTGGAAAAACCAAAACTGGTAGATGCCTAACTTGTGCATCAAAATGATAATTTAATTTACAACAAGGACCAAAAGTTGATACTTCCACAGTTTTTTTACTCCCTATTCTTTTTTGAGAAGTGTTTTATACTCTCTACTTTCTAATTGGGAAAATATCTCATTACAAAAACACATAAATACCCTTACTTTTTATCTTCTCATACATTTTCTGCTTTTTAATCTTCTATCTTTACTAATCACCACCTACAAATTTCCTATGAAACCCCAATAAAACCTAAACGATTAAATAAAAAAATTGAAGTATATTAGAAGAAAAAAATACTAAATTTTTAGAAACGAACCAAGTATAAATCAAAGGGGAAAACTGGAAATGAACGAAAAAAAAGTAAAATATTTAAGCTTTTCAAAAATTTACCTTCATCTTCTGTCAAGCTACCATCATCCCTCTCTGCTAAATCATTGCTTTCAGGAGAAAGATCGATCAAGGCGGTCGACATATTCCCTTGACCAGAAATAGTATGAGTTCCATTGTTAGATGACGGTTGACAAAAGTCAACCCTCTTCACAGCTAATTTACTTTCAACTATGGTAGTGGATTCGGGGGCAACCCTAACAATACTCATCCCCGGCATTCTGTTCATTTGGGTCTGAAAATGAACCTTTTTGGATGGATGGTTTGCTTGCATGTTTTGCCTACTCATTATCCACTTCTCGGCGTCATTCCACTTCGAAGGCATAGGTCTAGAGAATGATCTTGCTATGGAATGGTGCATTGATCTCTCCCCTTTATGAAACTCAAAGCTAGAAGTGCTGTCATAATCCAGATTTTCATCCTCATATATTTTTAAAGGGTGAACCGAACTAGAATTGCCAAATTCGCCCTTTAGGTGATGGTGTGTCTTCGGATGGCTAAAGTCTGGGTTGTCCATTGTCTCAAGAATACTATGGCTCCCGTTTGGCATTGCATCTCCAGACAATTTCAGTGTGGTGGTTCCATACCTAGGTGCTGCAAAAGTTAACAACAAATGTTTAAGAAAAGCACAAATTTCAAGAAAGTCCGTTACTTAATCTTAAATACTCCATACTAAAGAGGCAAAAGGTATCACATTTATTGGATATAAGAAGCACAAACTAGTGAGTAGTGACACTTGCGAGAGACGGTCTCACAAGTCACAGGCTCACTCTAGTGTGACCTATCACTTTTCATATCAGAACCAATTGTTGAAAGGAGAAATTGACTCAGTCATTAGATAGAAGTAATAAGTTGTCCATTTTCTTAAATAGGAGTACTTTCAAGTTCTTCTTTAGGAGTATAAGACTCTTAAATACGAAAGTTAACAGTTCTGGGCATAAGAATCCTACAAATTAAAGTTAATATTTTTTGACAATTTTGTCCTTCATAAGGATAAAGTCGGGTTATAGCTTCAAAGTGCTTCCCTTATTTCATCCGTTTAATGACTATGGATTGACTCAACAACTGCTCTTCAATTACCATATGATTTCCCATAGTTTACATGGAGGTTGTTTCAAGAGTAACATGATCATTATACAAATTTTTAGTCCTATAAAAGAAATAATTGAAAATGTGGTCCTATATGTGAAACACTAAGGCAACTTCAATTGTTTTAGGTCTATAAACTACGGAGTATCAAGTTCCAATCAATTTGAAAAACATACGGTAGTTTTTAGACCAAGAGTGTTGTTTTGTTTTTTGTTGAAAAAACACAAAACTCACTATGAACTGGGCTCCATGACACCATCACTTCACTCCCTTGATGTGATTCATAAAAGGTAAATGGTGTTCTAATTTGAATTTGGACCAACCATTTGTGTATAACCACAAAGATGAATAAGTGAAGAACTAACAATGAAATATATGAATCATAAAAACAAAAAAGCCAAGAAAGTGCACCTTCTTCCTCAAAATCAGAGGCGGCCAACAAGCTATTCTTCACAAACTCAGAATCCCCAACTTTGGAAGGTGAGGTTCTTGAGGAGTTACAATTTGAATTTGACCCATCCTTATTCTTCCTCTGATGATGTACTCCTACAAGCTTCATTCTAAGCTTACTTGGTGATAGTAAACCAGTCTACACAAGAGAAAATCAAGGGAAAAAACTATTACAAACAAATCCAGCGTTCTACAAGCACAATCCTCCAAACAAACACACAAAAAATGTTCCAAAAGTTTACACACATTCGAAATGAAAAGAGAGGGTAAAAAAGACTATATACCAAATTCAAGAAAATGAAAAATGTCAAAGATTCTAACTTTAGAGACAAATCCCTCAAAGAAGGAGAAAGGGAGAAAAAGAGATGATAATTAAAGAATACCCAAAAAGATTCAGTACAATTGCAGTCACAATTATCTAGCGGAGGGACCATAATAACAGTAATAATAATCACTGTGGGAATGTATTTTCGAACACGCAGATTAAAATTTGACAATACAATCCAGAATTTCACTAAAACAGTCACATTCAATCATTGCAAGTTTTCAATACAGACACCTCATACAAAAAGAAAAAGAATGAAAATGTAATGCGAAGAAATGAGAGAATTCATAAAGAAAACAACAAAAGGAAAAATCAGGTGGAAAGAAACGAAAAACAAAGTTTTGATGACAATGAAATCACATACCTGCACTTTGTGAATCCTTTCGTACTCCATTAGATTCAATTCCTCTCTCTCTATCTCTCTGTATGTACTACCAACTATTTGTATGTATTGCAGAGAGAGAAGAAGAATGCTAGCTGTTTAGAGAGAGAGGGGAATAGTGTTTCTATCAATGAATGAAGAGGAATAGAGAAGAGCCTTAGCTTGATGTTGGAGATGATGACGAGAGCCTCCAATGCATCATCATCAAGGTCGCCAGGTCGGTGATCTTTTTACTGATATTTGACCCATTTTCATTATTTCCCCGTTCATATGTAAAAGTAAGTGGGTGAGCAGATAAATTTGAGAAAATTTATTGGTCTGAAAACAAATCTTTGAAAATACGGAGCGAGTATGTTTTAAGTACTACATTTAGTACTTAAAACATATTTGTTTTATGACAAGTATTAAAAAAGTTTATTATATTTTCCTATTTAGATGTATTTAAAAGTTCATTACATTTTCTACTTTTGGTAATTTTTTCATTTAAATTTTCCAATTGTTCTTACTTTTTCTACTTTTATCTTCTTTTTCTGACTTTTTTTTACATTATTCATTAGATATACTATTTTCTCCATAAATTGTGACAAGATCTAATATAATGATCTTTTAAATATGAGGAGTAGAAAAAAGGTGAATTGATATTAATTAATATTGTTACAAAAAAGCACCAATCAGATTCAAGTGTTTTTTTTTGTTTTTTTTATTACGTGCATGTGTTCAAATTTTGATTGAGTTTTCTTGTTTCTTGTAGCACATGGATGTCCAACGTTTTGCACATGATCCAAATGACACTTCAAGAAGTCGTGTAGCCTAGAAAATAAGCTTAGTAGCTATTGTTTTATTGGATGACTGTATTTAGATAAAATATACTCCCTCCGGTCTTAAATAAACTTCACACTTTGACTTCACACAAATTAAGGAAATAAATTTGACTTTACTCTAGAGTACACTGTTGTGACACTGTTTGACACTGTTTGGCACTATTTTTCACTGTTTTGCACTGTTTTGATGTAAATAATTTGCCAAATAAGGAAGGGAGAAGAAGTGTGAAGTTTATTTTGGACCTAGCCAAAAAAGAAAGTGTGAAGTTTATTTAGGACCGGAGCGAGTATTAAAGTGATTATGAAAAAATAGAATGAATATTACATACTTTATGAGAATTAAGAGATAATTGAAGCAATACTTTCTCAAATTAGAATGGGGGAAAAAATGTAAGCTTTGTTTTAAAAATGTACTCCCTCCGGTCCTTATTAAACTTTACACTTTGACTTCACACATATTAAGGAATTAAATTTGATCTTACTGTAGAGTACACTGTTTGATACTGTTTGACACTGTTTGACACTGTTTTGCACTGTTTGGTGTAGTTTTGTTTGCCAAATAAGGTGTTTGGTGTAGATTTGTTTGCCAAATAAGGCAAATAAGGAAGTGTATAGGCATGGCAATGGGTCGGGGCGGGGCGGGTATTGCAAGACCCGGACCCGCCCCGTGACTTGGCGGGGCGGGTCTGCCCCGCCCCGTGACCTTCACGGGTCCAAATTTGTTGACCCATGACCCGCCCCGCTCCGCCGTAATCTAATTAGCTAGTATGTATTTTTTTGTGGGAAGTTGTTACCAATTGAATCTACATAATGTTTATCTCTAAATAATAATTAAAAATCAATATATTAAATCAAATTTATGATACGCTAAAAATTTCAAAAATTAAGGAAAAATTACTCAAACTTGAATAGTTAATCTTATTAGTTATATTAATAATTGAATATATGTATTAAAATTCTATATATAAAGAAGACATTGATAATCCGTTGTGCATCTCATTATAATATATACTCCGTATTCATATATTATAAGATCAAAGAATTTATGATTTATTGTATATACACATATGTATGTTGAAGTATATTTGTAGTACTATAATTTAAGAAAAAGTATGTATACTTATATATTCAGCGGGTCGGGTCGGGGTGGGTCAGGGCGGCACGGGTCAATTCTAATACCCGAACCCGCCCCATTGTATAAGCGGGGCGGGGCGGGGCGGACCCGCCCCAAATGTCTCGGGCCAGGGCGGGTCATTGCGGGTCGGGTTTTTTTGACATCCCTAGAAGTGTAAAGTTTAATATGAGACGGCCCAAAAAGGAAAGTGTAAAGTTAATTAAGGACCGGATGGAGTAATATCTTTTCCTAACTTCTAGAAAATAGTGTGCTACTTTTCAAGTGTTAATTATCAAAATAGGACTAAAAGCCGGTCAGCTTGCACAAATAGAACCAAAAAATAAACTATATTTCATGTGACTAATTATGTGTATGTTGGACAAATATACCCTTGTACCTAATCAAATGTTTTAATTCATAATCATATAATAAAGAATAATAAAAAATCGTAAAAAAACTAAAAAATTAATAAATATATTTAAAAAATAGCAATTTAAAAATAATTAAAAAAATTAATTATTTTTAAAATACAAAAAACAAAAACAAAAATCACTACCATATCTGCCGCCCCATCACCACCACCTCCGGTCACCGCGGGAAAAAATGTCACATGCATTAGGAATGTCATATTTATGACACATTCAATGAAAGTTTTGGCATTCTAAAGAATAAGATGTCATTTTTTGCATTTTCATAAAAATGGCATTTTTTTTTAGAAAAAATGGCATTTTTTACACCGGTCAGAGATGGTGGTGCAGGAAGGCAGTACAGGCGGTGGGACAGGCATCCACAATTTTTTTAATTTTTTTATGGATTTTTACTATATTTTATTATTTTTTAAAAAATTAAAAAATATAAATTTTTTATTTTATAAATATTTTATTAATTTTAGTATTTTTCTACTATTTTTATTATTATTTACAAATTTATTATGAATTAAAACATTTAATTATAACTTTTGACTACCTTTTACTCATATTTAAAGGAGGGGTAAGATGGAATGAAAAATAGGTATGTTTCAAAGAGGACTAATAATATGATCCTATTTTGGAATAAAAATGTCCTATTTTTTATTTTTGTCACAGTTTTATTCTTATTTGGGTAATTTCTGCCTTTTCAATTAAGTGTGCCAAATATCACTTGGTAGGCCACACAAGTATCCCTTCATGCATATTTGATAACATACTTTATATTAAAATGAAGATTTAAGAATTCAAAAATAAATGATTTGAATAATGAGAAAGCACAATGTTAAAACTCTAATTAATCTTATACGTAGTATATAATATCTCGTCATTAAATTGATGGTTTGATATTGTATTTTATTGGATTAAATGATATTTTTGTTATATACTATGCAGTATGTATTAAATTAGTTAATATTATTTAAAATAATATAATTCGTGTGTATTATTATCGGAGAACGTGAGATGGTTCATATTATTCAAATGTACTTCCCCTTTATTTAAATTCTTTAGTTTATGAATGTCTTTTTATTATTTTGAGCAAGAAAGAATGAAAAATAATTATATAAAATAAAAATAAATGAAAAAAATATGACTTTTAAATATGATTGTATTTGCACATCAACTATGATGGTCATGATAATTATGTTGTCTTTTGTTATTACGGAGTACTATATAACTATATCGCAGTGGCTGTAAGAATTATTATCATATTTTCGTCAAAACTTATATTTTATTTAAAATAATATTAAACCTCGAATAATTCTTTAGTTAAAGTGAGGATTTAGAATCACAAAAAAGGTGGACAATAAAAAAGGGTGACAAATTGAATACAACAACGTAGTCATTAGAATTAAGGATTTCGAATATATAAAGACCCGTTTGAAACTATTTTTATTTCAAACGTTGATTTTTTATTTCATGATTTAAAAATTAAATTAGAGTTACTTTTCGAATCGATAATGTTGAATAATTTTAGTTTTTATTCATATTCTTTTTCTGTGTTTGATTAATCAAATACTTTGTACCAGTATGTTTTAAGTATAAAAATATCATTATCCTCATTCAATTATTTCAACCAAAATTTCAACAATGACAAGTATTGTTGCACATCACAGCTAGCTAGATAATCATTTGCACGCGTAGCTCAGTTGGATCTGCACGCGTAGCTCAATTGGTTGAGTGAATGTTATAACTCTTGTGTGTTGAGCTGAATTTCAGAAGAAGATGGAATTTGCAACAATTTATATGTCTTGTCGGATAATTCGGTGGATAACGAGTGCCTATACCGTACGACCGGTATACGGTGAGCACCGTATACCGGTACGGTTTTATATTTTTTTTTTCCTTTTGTTTTTAAAAAATGGTAATAACTTTTTTATTTTTGATTCGATTTTTATAAAATTTATATCAATATTTTTTATTTTTCATGATCTTTCAAATGAGACCAATATTGCCTATGTAATTTTAACATATTAACATTTGCGTGTAAAATATGTAACTTTACGTGTTAAAATATGTAACTCACGTTCAGTCAGGTCAAATGCAACTCGTGTGTATAAATATGTATCTCTACGTGTAACAATATGTAATTTTACGTAAAAAAATATGTAACTCGCGTTCAGACAGGTCAAATGCAACTCGTGTGTATAAATATGTAACTCGCGTGTATAAATATGTAACTTTACGTGTAAAAATATGTAACTTTACGTGTAAATATATGTAAGTCGCGTTCAGGCATGTCAAATGCAACTCGTGTTTATATATATGTAACTCGCTTTTAAAAAGATGTAACTTGCTTATAAAAAGATGTAACTTGCTTATAAAAAGATGTAACTTGCTTATAAAAAGATGTAACTCGCTCATAAAAAGATGTAACTCAATGTATTATCAAATGTAACTGAGGCCACTGATCCACTCCCAAACAGATTCAATCTTCTATTTCACAAACCTATCATCTCCCTAACAGATTCGATTTTCCTTATAATCCAATACTCATTAATATAATAGTTCGATAATTTCTTAACATTACATAAGCAATATTGGTCTCATTTGAAAGATCATGAAAAATAAAAAATGTTGATATAAATTTTATAAAAATCAGATCAAAAATAAGAAAGTTATCATCATTTTTAAACAACAAAAGCAAAAAAAAAAAGAGTGAAGCTGCGTCGTTTTGCAACCGGGCGCACCATCCTCATGGTGCGCCGGTTGCACGGTATAATTTGCCGTGGATAACCCCTAACTTCACAAAATCGGTAAATATCGATCCAAATCCACATAAAGGTTTGGTGTATTGGTGTGAGCTCAAAATTTCAAGGGAAACATTCAAACATTCAATGTAATGGATTAGGATAAGACACCATCATCATTGACCAAAATAAATA